ATGGCAATAGTAATGTGTGCGAATTTATTGGGCAAACAATACATAGCTCGGAAGACAAAAACCGAGGAGACATTTTTTCCTGATTGCCTTTGCCCACTGTCACTCTTAATTATAACCCTTTGGCTCGGCTTATCTCTCCCCAAAAAGGCAGAAAATTGAATTAAAAACCCTCTTTTCACGTACTTCTACGAAATGACGAAAAGTCTGGGCTTAAAACTAGCTGAAAAGGTGGAAAATGCGATAGAACTCAACCCCTAAGCCGGATCCTTTGAAAAAATCATGAGCGAACTAATCCTTTTAAATGGCTTAAAGCCCGAAAAATTGCTTGAAAAATATTTAAAAGTAATGAGAAATCCGTGCCTTCATTATTTTGATGGCTGATTCAACCTGACGATTCCACCGGACCCCTTATCAGCCCATTCCCGCCCCTCCAGATGGAGTTTTGAGCCGCTGTGTTTTTTTTGGGCTTTGAGTTTTCCTCAAGAGTTTTCGGACAACACGTTGTTTTCATTGCTCATTAGCGGCGACAGCGCGAGTTTAATTAGCAGTGACGCAGCGTCTGAGTTTCGCAGGAAACCCTTTGAGAAGGGTTCGGTTAAATTGCTTCCGGCAGCTACCAACCCCCGGATCGCATCCTGGCCATCCGAATTCACAACAACACCTAGGCCGTAAGAAAAATTGAGCAACACTTTGATTCAATGAGCGGCCAAAGGTCGAAAGTTGGACTTCAAGTTGGTCCTGTCGGGGTGGACTGGGCACTTCCTTCACCGGGGTTGCTCCAACTAATTGCCTTTTCGACATGCATTTAATCTCTATTAGAGCGGAGTGATAGGAAACTTTCCCGGCTTGCCGACCCACATGTGGAGCGGTCTTCATAAATTATTAAGGAAGTCGGGGGATTCGATTGTCCAGCCCTCTCTTTTGCAATTTAAAACAAATTGTTGTTCGACGCTAGTTCGATTATTTGGCCCCCAGGGGTGGCAGGAAAAGCGGAAGGCGAACGGCACAACAGCAAAAGTTTCCCTGCAGCCTGTCTGTCTAAGAGTGTGTTGATAATGATTGAAGTCATCACATACGAGAGTGAGGAGGAGTTTTCCTCTGTTTTTTTTGGGGAAGGTGTGAGCATGCTTCGTACATATCAATAACGTTTTAGGTGAGACTGACCCTTGGCAATTTCCCCAGCAGCTGTGTCGACTGCTGATGACCTTTTAATTGAAGTTCCAGCTTTTGCTGTACTGCCACTGCCACTTGCCTTCCTGGGCAATGTAATTCCATCAGATCTGAGCTGCTAATAGCCACTCCGGAATCTGCAGCCATGCACACAAAAATGCAAATAAACGCGACCACTCGGCATCCAATAACTTGCGTTCTTCAGTTGCGAAATCAAATTTTACGACGAGCCACGGGAATCCCTTAATAAACAGCCGAAATCTTGAGCAAAGTAGCGAATTCCAGGCCACCCAGAGGCACCATCCTTCCCCAGCCAACCGTTAATTAAACCCTTTTCGGCTGCTGGAAATCTGTGGGCAAAGTTTTTCCATTAAAGGAAAACCCAGCCAGGCAGCCGCAGGCAGCGAAATCAAAAAGTAAAAATTTATGAAGCGTTTAATTGAATTAATTAAAAGCAATAATACCTTGAAATAATTGCGCCTAATAGAAAAACTTTGCCACCGATTGCCATTGGTATGAGTCCAGAGCCACAGATACAGATACATTTACAGATAGAGAGGCCCAAAAACAGATACAGAAACAGATGGCTGAGATCTTGGGCCTCTGTTTTTGGCGACTTTTGACTGACAGAGTTATGCGACAAATCCTGGGCAGAAGCCAACAGTCGCACCAGCCATAAGTCAAAATTATCAACAAGATGGCCAAAACCAGGAGCAGGACCGAAATCAGGGCCAGGCCAAGAGCCAGGACTCCCAGCCAGGCAGCCTGTCACGCACGTAGGCCACGCAACATTGCGAAAAATATGTCTTTGATGTCATAAATCAATTACGAGTGGGATTGCCGCCACGTTGGCAGCAAGTTTCCGAGCCCAGGACCAGGACACGCCAGGATTTGCGCCTTCGTGGCAAACAACTTGTTAGAGGTGACTCCCCCTTTGAGAGTTGCCTCCCCCTCCTCACAGGTTTCCAGTCTCGAGTTTAAAACGTGACTAAATTGAGGGAACAAACAGCTCCTCGACTGCAAAGTTACCAAATTAAGTGGAGCAAATGAAGCGCATGAGTTCCGTCAACTGTTTTGGACACCAGCCCCTTGGTGGTTCACTTCAAGGGGGTACTTAGAGAAAGGAAGGAAAAGTTGATACCCAATGTGTGCTTGTATCTATGTTTAAGATACCCATGCCCAGTAAGTTTTTGCAAGTGTATTTCACCTTTCCTTCTCCGCTCCCCTGAGCTTTTTGTTCCATAATTATGTCGCACACATGCCCACTCGAGGAGCAGGGGAAGATTCATCACCTCGAGACTCATCCTGTCGAGTGCTAAATGTCAACGTGACATGTGCGATGATGACGGGGAGTGGGATCTGCAGAAGGCCTGTGTTAGTTTATCAAACATAATTAAGAAGTTCTGCGAGGGCAAGACTGAACCAGAGAGAGAATAAACAGAAGTTTAATTATTTTGCAAGTTGCTGAGGCCCAGGGGCAGAAGCAATTGAGCCCCCGGCTCACCTTTTGACTTATGATGTATTGCGTGGTCCATGACAACTGACAGATGACAGCACACCTCCTGCTGACAAATAGAGGAAGTCGGAAAAGGATTCCTCAGCTCTTAAAGCTGTCGAGGAGGAAGTGTTGGAAGTTTCTTAAAGAGAGCCCCCACTAATTACCAGAAGTTGGGAAAGAAGTTTTCCAGTACATTTGCATAAATCAAACAATTAGTCACGCCGTCTATAAAGAGTAATTCGAATGCCGGAGTAGTCCCAACTATTCCCAGCCCAAAAACTACTGTCCAGTGCTGGGATTGTTCTTATTTCGGTCCTTAATGTCTCCCCGCGGTGTTGTTTGAGCCTCGTCTTACAAGGACTTCGGCTGGAAGAAATCCTGGGGAAGGTGTCCTGCCGGATTCCTCCTCTAATTTATGCGACATTTGCTAGTTTGCCGTTTTGGCATAATAACTTCTAATTCACCTAACCCGACTCTCTCGACCCTTTTGGGGTGCTCGTGTGAAGTGGAAGCGGAAGCCTCAACCACTCAGCACTCGGAGAGGCACTAATTTATGGTTTTGGGCATTCAAATTTATGGACAAAAAGCTGAACAAAAATACAAAATACTCGTATTTGTTTCAAAATATAACGGCAGGCCCAAGGTGACAACCTCTGAAAAAGTTGTTAAGTTTCGGTAAAGGTCGAAGATGAAATGCTCTTTCTCTGCTATACTTATATTAGTTTGCCTTACAAAAGTTATTACTTTATATTAAAACTTTATAAGAATCAAATATTGAAGTTTGAAGTTGTTAAATTTAAGCACTTATATACTCCACTCCCTTACTGGAAATGCATTTATGGATCAGTAAAAACAAAGAACAAAAGAGAGATTAATGACTTCTAAAAATAACTTTTATCGAACTCCCCAAAGTGGCCCAAATAAGTTATATCAATCGCTGACCAATTCCGCTCCATGCTAATTAAACTGGATTTTTACCACCTCTGATTAATCAGACAGTTCAGTAACCTTTCCCCGTTCGGAGGGTATCGAGAACAAATGCGGAACTTGTCGAATAAATTACATAAGCAGCTCAGCATCTTCTGCTCGGGTTCTTTGTGGCTCTCTGGAAAGTTCGCTGCACTGGCGACTTACTATAGCATATATATATCCCCACACCCCCCTTGAAAACCCACCTCTTGGTCTTATAAAATTGTGCAACTTTTTGTTTGACTCGTTCTAAAACGGAAAACTCGTTTACAAGCCTCCAAAAAGAATCAGTTTGTTAGCTGTACTTTAATTCAGCACTTTTTATTAGCAAGTATAAGCGTCACACCTGGTACTTCCAGATGCACTTTCAGAAAAATAAACTACATTAAGTATTATGTACTATCTGTAAGAAAATGCTTTATAAGTATTTAAGGAAAAGTTTTGCCAATGCAATAGATACACTTCGTTGGAAGATTCTAAACATCTTTGACCTACATCTGGTAGTCTCTAAGCCATTTAAAGTCATACTCCAGCTGTAGTAGCTTATTCATCTTAATATTAGCTTAGCACAAAGTTAGTTTTTCTCAGTGTCTGGTACTTGCTTCTCACCGTATTCTCGATTCTGGCCGCTTTCGCCCGCCCATCGTATTTGGTAATCAGCGGCAGCGACAGCGGCAGAGGCAGAAGCAGCAACAACTGCGATGGCCAAGTTCAGTGGCCTCCAAGTGTGTTGGAACTGTTTTGGCCAGCTTTTATGATTGGGATATGATTTGTTCTTGTCTCGCCACTTGATTGGCTAGAAAAGTGGGTTAAGCGTGGTCAGGTAGATCCAAAGATCCAAAGATCCCAAGATTGGCAAATTTCACATCACAACGAAGCTGTGAGGCAATCTACATCCCGTTTCCAAACCGTGTTTGTGTCTATCTTAGTTTCGGGGAAGAGATTGCCACACTATAAACTACAAAAATTACAAGAAAATGCAATTAACCGGCCTGAAAATCAAATGTCAATCACGTAGTTTGTCGCTGGTGGAAACCTGTTGTGGGCTCTCTAACATTTCAATGACTTTGAACTTTTGTTTGCGCTGGTTTCTGTGAGTTGTGTGTAGCATTTACATATTGATTGTTGGCGTGACCCATTTGTTTCGGGGCCCTCGAGAGCGGCCCACGCCACTTCCACTTTCGTTGGCTTTCTTTGTCAGTCGGATCAAGCGATCGCGGCTTAATCAAATAAAGCCTCTCCTCCGACGGCCCCCGAGATCTCCAAGTTTTCCCAACCAGTTTGGAGCTTCGTTCTCGCCGGTTCTCGAGCTCGGACTCGGGCTCTGGCTCTGGCTTTCATAAAAAGTCTTTGGCCAACTTTCTTGGGCTTCATTCGCGCTTGTCGTTACCATGAAAGCGGTTCTCTGCGCGATTTTCGTCACGTTGCTGGCCACCTTTGGTCGAGGCTTGCCCACCCAGCTGGAGGATCAGAGTCAGGGATCCTTTGCCGGTCAGATTTCCCAACTGATTGCTCTGCAGCTGCTCAAGTTCAACAAGGACATCGATGCCAATCAGGTGCATTCGCCGCTGGGAGTAGCCTCTATTTTGGCTGTTTTGGCGGAGGCCTCCGAGGGCGATACCTACTCCGAGTTCCAGCAGGTCTTCGGTTACCCTAAGGATCGCACGCAGCTGAGGGATGCCTACAAGAGGATTCTGGGAAGCTACCAGAACAGAGATGCTGCTGTGGCTCTGCCGTCCTTCCAAACCTGGTTGTACGTCTACCGGAATAGCAGTGCCAGGGAGGAGTTCAAGGATCTTCTCGAGAAACACTACTACGTGGATGTGAAGGATATCAGTCGCCAGGAGTACGATTGGAATGAACCGAACACCTCACTGCAACTGTCAGAGGAAAAGGACAATACAGACTCCGCTGAGGGAAGCACCGAGCAGAGCAACAGCAAGGACGTCATTGGATTTGAAACCCTCAAGAGGATTAACCTGGATGACGAGGACATACCTGCCATTCCAGCTGACGGCTATGGCCAGGAAATCATCGATAAAGAGGCCTCCAAGTTCGATCGTGATATAGATGACAAGCAGTATGTGGAAAAACCAGTTGCCCTGGCTGAGGCCGAGCTACTAAAGAAAGAACAGCAGCAGCAGCAGGCGACCACAGAATCAGAATTGGAGTCCCAGCCCGAGGAAACTACAACTCTTGCTGTGGAAAAACAGGAAAAACCAGACATAGCAGCGGAGGAAAATCCAGCTGAAAAGCAGCAGAACAAGCGCAGCGACCAGGAGGAAAGCCAGATCAAGAACCTGGAGGAGAACGAGACGGTGCAGGAGGAGGAGAAGTTGGCCAAGATCATGGCGGCTCCCGCTGTGACCGCCAGTGAACCCGAAAAGGTGCGTCTGCCCCTCCAAAAGCTGGAAAACGCTGTGAAGACGGTGGCCAAGGATGGTGCCGATGAAATAATGCTTGCCCTGGAGTCGCGCTTGTCTTCCGTTAGTCGGGTGAGTTAAAACTATGACATAATATTAAAATACATTCTTAAATTAAGAAATTATACTGTTTCCAGGTCTATGGAGCACGTAGCTTGTTCCGCCAGGACGACATCGCCTCCGCCTTGAGTGCCAACTCCATCACCGGTCGCTCGGCAGGATCCAAGTCCAAGATGCTGCTCTTCAACGGGCTCTACTACCGCGGCAGCTGGGCGACTCCTTTCTACCAACTGAGAGACGGCAGCGATGAGTTCTTCTTCATGACCAACGAGGATGCCATGAAGGCTCCTATGATGCATGCCCGAGGAAAGTTCCAGGTGGCAGAGCTTCCTCAGGTCAAGGCCCGAGTTCTGAGTCTTCCCTACGAAACTTCCCGATATGCCTTGTGCATTGTCTTGCCCGACGAAACGGAGGGACTGAGTGACGTGATATCCAACCTTCAGACCAGCGACTTCTTGCTGGCCAAGAAGCAATTCCAAGCAAAGGAGCTGCATGTTTCGCTGCCCAAGTTCCAAGTGGAGGAGACCTCCCGCTCCGAGGCAATGCTTAAGCAGATGGGTCTGAAGAAGGTCTTCTCGAGGACCGAAGCTCAGCTGGGCTTGCTGTCCGAGGATCCCGACGTGCATGTAGACGAGATTGTGCAGTTCGTGAACGTCCGGGTGGACGAGGGAGGTAGTAGTGCCAATTCCCTGTCAGCTGCCACCATGCAGGCCAGGTCTCCTAGTTCCGAGTCCACTGTACTGCCCGTTCCAGAGCCTGAGCCCGAACAGCCAGGAGTAGAGCGCTTCGAGGTCAATCGTCCTTTCGCCTACTTCATCGTGGACTGCCAGGAGCAGTTTGTCCTGGCCTCTGGAAAAGTCTACACGCCCGAGTTTAAGGAAGATCTGCCCTCCGTTTCCGTCGAAGTGGAACTGGAACAGTCTTAGTCTGCTAGCTTAGTCTCTCATAAGTATCATAACGAATTTTCACCGATCCATGCAATAAACGTGCACAATTCATTTCCCAAAAGAAAAAGCCGAAGCGCCGAACTTTCCCAGCGCAATCAAAACAACAATTAATTCACTTACAGATGAGCGGCAGCAACCCCCGGGATGCTGGGACTCAATTGTCCGTCCGTAATGTGAAATGTATCTGAGTCAGGGCATCGCTAATTTTCGAAATTTGTCATTGGGTGACGAGTTACTGAGTTGCGAATGGAACGGCAACGGGAATGGGAATGGGAACGGGTTCGTTGAATCTCCCGAAATTCTCAGGGCAGTCGAGCATGAAGCGCATCCTCGCCACGTGTCCCGCCAACTCCTGTCCGGAACGAAAGCTGACAGGACTCCTCAAGTGGTCAATGGGCTGCAATTAAAATTCTCATTAGAATGCATGATGTCTTACTATCTGATTCGCAGTCTGGCCAGGAAGTGCGAGCCCCTTGTTTCCTGCGAAAACCACCGAAAACGCATGCGAAAAGCAAAACACAACACGGAGAAAATGTGTCTGGAAGTCTGAAGCCATAGAAGACATATATATAAAAGCTGAGGAGGGGGATTCTGGGGGTCTGAAGGTCTGGAACTGAAAGTGGCGCCAGCCTGGCGGGCGCCAAAAAGCAGAGGTAAAAACAGGAGTAAATGCGTGCCATGATTACAGCGATGACGACTTCCACCCCGAGGGAGAGCCAAGGAACTGCTCAGGCGACTCCGGGGGAAACTGCGACGGAGACGATGATGTTTCATCTTTTCCACATGAAAACTCACGTAACAAAAATTATGATAATCATAACTTTTTCGCCCACATCCCCTCCCCTCGAGTGGCTTTGTTTTGTTAGCCGGACAAAGGATCCGTGGAAAGGTAGCGTTCGCCTTGGACCGTGGACCTTGGACCTTGGAGCGTAGAATGGCGTCTAGTTTTTCTGCCGTCTGGCCATTGCTCTATTTTTATTAAGTCTTTGCATATAAATCAATGTGGCCCGATATGCAGAAGAGCAGAAAAAGGTATAAAAGATTTATGACTCTGCGCTGTGGGGCTGCGGGGTCTGGGCTAGCAAAGAGCTCGTTTAAATATTGTTTAACATAATTTCGTGCTGAAGTTTCCCGATGAAGGCGAACTCTTTCAGCGAAAGCTACACCCACTTCACTGGGAGATAGATAAACAAAGTGGCCATAAATCCATCCATCCACTTGCATCAGCGACAAACGCACAAGATTTATGCCGCTGCCACTGCCTCAAGTCTAATTACAAGTCAAGTTTGTCGAATTGAAAATTCGGTCTGCCCAGAAATTGGAAAACAGCGCAACAAGTGTGGGAAATCACTAGCCCAGCTGTTTTCCCAGAAAATTCCAAGGGGAAAAGCATCCCCAGTCCCCCTAAAGACAGAGCTGTTGACATCCCACATGTGAGCAGCAGCTGTCGGGTATCAAAAAGTAAAACAAAGGGATCTGGAGTCGAGTATTTAGCTATTGCCGCCGAATCGAAATGGAATCAAAAGGTCTATCACTATAACAGGTCAAACACAGATTAGAAATCCGCAAAGGCTTCCTCATGTCGCATGGTCTTGGCCTTGGGTCGCGGTTTATCGGAGACCTTATCGAAGTTCGATATATCCTCCGGATTGCTGATGTTGGGCACATAGGGGGCATTCACAGTCTGGTTAAGCAGGGGGATCCACTCCACATCCTTGAACCACTCGTGTTCCTTGATGTCCCGATTGCCGTTGATTAGGTTGCCAAAACTGCAAAAGGTATAGAGTATCATTCATTGATGAATCTAAGGATGGAAACCCACCGTTTGGAGAGATCAACCTGCAGCAAATGATCCACCAAATGACGCAGAGCACCACTGAAATAGCTGGGCATCTTGTAGTCCGCCTCGCAGATCTTGTTGTACATGCTCATCACATCCCGGTTGTGGGAAGAGAAGGGTGAGTGCCCCGCCACAAACTCAAAGAGCAGCACTCCGTAGGCCCACCAATCCACGCTGGTTCCGTAGGGTTTCGACTGGATGATCTCGGGTGGCAGGTACTCCGGAGTTCCACACAAAGTCATGGTACGGGTTTCCACTTTCTGTTTGGATATAAAACTTTAAGATACTTCATGAGAAGAAGAAGCTGCAATAGCAGACCTTGGCAAATCCAAAATCAGTCACTTTCAGGTATCCGTTCTTGTCCATCATTATGTTCTCAGGCTTGAGGTCTCTGTAGAGCAAACTGCAGTGATGCAGGTACTCCAGAGCCAAGAAGACCTGGGCGGCATAGAAGCGAGCCTGCTTCTCGGTAAACTTTCTCACTCTGAAAAAGGGAATTTTATAATAAGAATATATAAGCTATATCCCTAAGCAGATACTCACTTTCGATGGTAGGTGAAGAGCTCTCCGCCACCAATAAGTGGAAGGACGAGGTAGAGACTGTCAAAGTCCTTGTAGGAGGCTATCAGATTGACCGTGTTCGGGAAAGTCATGGATCTCAGGACGTTCTTCTCGCTCATCACGTGGCCCACCTGCTTGGTCTTAATGATCTGATCCTTGCTCAACTGCTTGGAGGCGTAATATATGCCGGACTCCCGCTCTCTGACCAACTGCACCTTGCCAAAGGACCCGGATCCCAGGGTGGCCTTCACATCGTAGTCATCCAGGCCCGTGTTGGGTGAGGGAGAGTTGGTGGCGAACTTCTTGTTGAAGTCCTCGCGCAACTTGTCCAGGATGAGGATGTAGTCCACCTTTGGGACTGAAGTGCATTTGCTGTTGCTCGGGCTGCGGTCCCATTGCGACATCAATTCGCTACTTAAGGCTCCCAGTGATCGCTATATTAAGAATACTAGAATTTCGAATTTTTTCCTAGAACATTATTAAAAGATCGTTTTGAAAATGACTTAAGTTGCTATGGTTGCGTATTTATTAAAATATAAATTAATTTCGACACATCCATAAGCTGACTAGTCCTTACCACGCCACTTATCTTACAACTAAAGAAAACCACGACTTTTACGGACAAATTGACATTTAAAAATTCGCAAACAACTCGGGATGTCGGTTTATTCGGGACTTGTACCGATCCTTGATCTCGAAGTTCTCGAAGTTGGACAGATCCTCAGCGCCGGAAATGGTCGGCAAGTAGGGAGCGACGACCTCCTGGTTGAGAATGCCGTACCAGTCGATGCCGTGGAACCACGGATGACTCTTCACGTCGGCGGAGCCCTCGTTCGAGTTTCCTAAACTGAGAAGGAGTGGCATAAGCGCCTCCTGGAAATTCCTGACCCACACCCACTCCCACTGCACTCACCGCTTTGAGGTGTCCACCTGCATGAGGCTCTCCACAAGGCTTTTCAGCTGTCCCGTGAAATAAGTGGGCATCTTGTAGTCACAGACACAGATCTTGGAATACATAAGGATCACATCTCGATTGTGAATGGCAAAAGGAGAGCGCCCTGCCACAAACTCGTAGATCAGGATGCCGAAAGCCCACCAGTCCACCGATTTGGTATACGGTCGGAGTTGCACGATCTCGGGGGCCAAGTATTCCGGAGTGCCACACAGCGTGGACGTTCGGCCATCTACGCGCTGAAATTAGTTTGGAATTAGGGTTCTGACCCTATTTAAGGAAGTCCAGTTTCCCCACCTTTGTGAAACCAAAGTCAGTGAGCTTGATGTAGCCCCGATGGTCGAGCAGGATATTCTCCGGCTTGAGATCGCGGTACAAGAGGTGCATCCTGTGCATGTACTCGAGAGCCAGCGCCACCTGGCAGGCATAGAATCGGGCCTGTTTCTCGTTGAACTTGCGAACCCTTTAGTTTAGTGGATACCCGTTGAAACTCAGTCTGCGGTGAGGTAGAATCAGGACTCGGTAGCCGGAATACTCACCTGCGATGGTAGCTGAACAGTTCCCCGCCATTGACCAGGGGCAGGATCAGGTAGAGGTAGTCGAAGCACTTCGTCGAGTCCACCAGATAGATGAGGAACGGGAATCGGGCGGCATTCAGCACGTGTTTCTCGTTGTGCACATGGGCCACCTGCTTGAGCCGAACCAGATCCTCCTTGCTCATCATCTTGGCGGCATAGTAGTTCTTGCCACCCTTTTCCTTGACGAGCATCTGACGAGGGAGTGTAAATTATGGGTAAATGTAGATAGAGACACTTTAAGGAGTATGTGAACTTGCCACGGTGCCGAAACTTCCATTGCCAAGTACAGCCCGCGTTATATAGTTTTCCAGATTTGTGTAAGGGGACTGGGTCTGGTGGCTCCATCGCTCCTCAAATTCGCGACTCATGTTGTCTAGGGTAACGTTGTAGTCTTCCTTGGAGTTGAAAGTGTACTGGCTATTGTGCTGGCTCATAACAGCAGTCCACTGTCCGGCCAATCGCGCATCTTACGGCGCCGTTGCGAATGCCTTCCGTTGCGGAGCTGGACTAGCGAAGCGATTTTGAATGGCAAATCTATTCTGTTGGGGGCGCTTGAAACACTTGGAATTTGGATTTTCATCACTTTTACACAATAACCAGATATCCAGTGACATCTGGGTCAATGCCACAATGAGAAACTAGGACGCTGGAGGACTTCTTTTAATTGGACCACAAATTCCAGTCCAGAGTTTAACAGTTCGATATCAGGTAAGGGTAACTTCTAGAATCTGGAGTCCCAGATATGTGCGGCCCAAGCCAAGGACCACTTCTTTCAATTAGCCGACAGAGCCTTTCTTCAAGGTATGACAAATTCACCTCCAACCCCCCACAGGACGACTGAGAAATGGCAATTTCCTGCGACTGCGACTGTGACTGTGACTGAGTCCACACACACATGTGCCTCTGAGTCCGACTTCTCGACATGTCCTGAGGTCTGGTCCTCTCGTCCTCCTGGCCTCCTGGCAAAAGTAAGAAAAATTGCAAAACGTCCGCTTGATAAATGATGCTAACCAAGATTACATAAGTTGGTAATTTTCTAGTACATTTATTTCCACATGTCAGGCCAGTCAAGTTGGGAACTCCAGACCGCATCTTCATGTTGATGGACATGTGAGTGGGTATCCATGAGATGGGACAGTGGTAGGCTTACGGTCCGGATGCCGAAATTGTTGCAGGCTTTTAAGGTAACTGTCGACCGAACCGTTTATTGGCCATTTCGGGCCAGCTTTGTCGAGTGGGCCAGTCTGTTGTCATTGTGCCACCTAAATTGACAATTAATCATTATCTTTCGGCCGGGTCGGCATTCAGATTGGCAGATTGGGTCAGCTTTGGTTTAGTGTCCTCTCGAGCCATGTGAAAATGGGTTTCTAAATATGCCTTTGGTCTGGCCTAATGCCCTGGCATTTATCCTCGAGAGCCGTAGAACTTCATTATTGATTGGCTGGTAAAAGGGGTTTTAAGTCTGAGGGGGGACTAATGAAAGTGGCATTCTGACTCATAAGCAGATGAGCTCCAGCTTTTAATTCGCCTTAAAATAAAACAAATCGTCACGTACTTGCCAACTTTCACTTGCACTAGAAACGGGAGTCGTGCAAAAACTAAACAATTTCACTTAGCCTACGAAGAAGAATATATATAGTGTGTATTCCATTCGAAATCCCGGCTCATTTAACTTAGAGCCCAGCCGCCAGATAAACTCCAGTTGGCTAAGATATGTTAACGACGGCCATAAATAAGCGGATAATATCTGGAAGGCCGACTATCCTCCATATGTACAGTCGTAGATGTGTGCTAAGCGGGCCAAGAGCAGATTAAGTCGTACGCACACGTTTCCCGGCCGTTTCTTTGGGCCATAGCCACACTTAAAATTCATTTGTTGTCTTGAAGGACTCAATCCCCCGATTCCCAGACTCTCGGCCAACGCTATGCAAAGTAATTGACGCCTCGATGAACTGTTGACACACATGGCATTTGTCTTTGGCGGCCTGGCTAATATTTGGCTTAGTTATCAGAGGCCATTTTTTGGGCTTAAGTAGGTGAATGTCCCGGGACTATATGGCCAAATTCAATTATGCTGAAAGGTTTCAGTTTTCCAGTTCCAGTTCTACATCCCATCCCTACCCAACCCCATCCCTCTGCCCACTGAAACGCCGGAAAAGCAGCTGCCGGCGTACTGGCCTCAGCCATTAGCGCTAATCTCCGCACAATCGGGAATAAATCAAGGCACGCTCTGCACTCGCTGGCCGGAAAATGCATTCGGTATTTGGTTTTTAGCATTTGGCATTCAATTCAGCTCACAGTTCAGCGGGCAGCAACAATGTAGCAACTCCCGGACCAGGAACCCGGCGAAAACCTTCCACCTTCCACCGTGCCGTACGACGACGTGTGCTCGGATTCAGAAGGTGTAACTAATCCGCTGGCCATGTGACTTTTGTCATGCGCCGATGTCAACTACACGAGAATCGACACCCGACAGCCGATGGTGAACCCTTGCCAATCCGATGCCAAAGGTTTTCCACTCGATTCCACCCTGAAAACACGGCCCAGCGGCCTTCCACCTTCAATCAACGCTCCTCCAACTCCACCCCCAAATTATCCTCCTTCCGATTGATTTCAGTGTTCGCCTCGAACTGCCGTTTGTAGTCCCTTGAATTGGGAATGCACTTTCAGAAAAAGAGGTAGGTAGAATACATTACCGCTCATTACTCTAGGAAAATCAAGAATGAGACTTGGAAAAACGTCTCTTACAAAAATCAAAATGGAAAATTTCTGCGAGTGCAGTTATGGAGTAATCATCATGGAACTGCTCTGCGGGTGGGCACGTTGACATTTTGCAGTTGGTTGATTTCGTCCATGTGAGGGGCTAACTTTTAGCCTGGCAATAATTTTCATAATTTTCCTGGCCCACAACGAATCTACCTTGCCGGGGGCCTTCATAAATCAGCCGCGAACTATTGACACAACCCGACGGCCATAAATCAGTGGGATCCGCGGACATCAGGTTCGCATACAGCCCGGCCATATTCTAAACAAATTGCCCCCAAATCGGCTATATCGCGACTATATATCGATATATGGCAACGCATCCGTGAATTTTCCGGAACGGCAAAATGGGCGGGCAAATAATGGCAACAAAAGCGCCGAATAAAACAATTGCCACAGTTTTAACATTTTGCCTTTTGCCATAAATAAACATGAACCGGTTTTGGGTGTTTGCATTCGTATTCGGTTATGGTCGTAGTCCTGTCCCAGGACCTCTTCCCCTTCCGCCGGCGAGTGCAAAATGCTCAACATTTTATTGAAATTCAATTAAAGTCGTATTTCAATAATTGGTCACGCATGGTGCGCATTTCCGTGCCAGTCCGCTCCTAAATGCCGCTCCACAATTTATGACTTTTCAATTTGAGTTTTTTTTCGGCATTCGGCGGGGCAATTGAAATGCTGCCACTTGGCCGGCGTCCTTTGTCCTTTTTGGGTACCGAATGGAAATCGGAAATTGTTGCAAAGTTTAGCCGTCGAACAGGACTTTCCCGCTGCATTAGGCTGCAAGTTCTTATCAGTTCCTGGGCTCACCCTTGTCACCCCGAGTCCCCATTCCCATCCCCTTTCCATTTCGAATTTTTCTAACATTTCACCCTCACGTTAAGTGTGCAGTATTTTTGCGTGATTTGTGCGAATTTCTATGTCTCGTTGAGGCTGATAAAATTTGGCAAGGTCGAGAGGTGGGGAAATGGGAATTGGGAAACGCGATACGGGGTGGTTGGTTAGTTCGTGCCACTACCACTGCCACTACCACTGGCAGTGGCCCTTTGTTGATGTTGTTTAGTGCCATAAATTCTTTTTTACTTGTCATATCTGACTTCGGGCTCTCTCTATTTAGGCACAGATCATTAAGTTCTGCACTGCGTCTATCTGATTTAAAGACGGGAACATGTGTAGCCATGAGTCCCATCCCCTGGATTTATCAAAATGTCAATTTCCCCGCTGACTGTCACGGATCTTTAGCCTCAGCTCCACTCGCCAGGCGGGCATCCTCTAATTAACGAGGCGTTGATGTCGCGTTTCGCCGGAATTATTTAGCAAAAAATCAATTTGATTTCAGCCAGACTGTTGCTTAATTTGCCAAATTCAGTGCAGGCCAGCTGAAATCCATCAAAACATCAACACTGTCAACGGAGAGCAGACAAAGCATTTGATTTGCCTTTTTCGGGGTTTATGTGGTAATTTTTTTGCCAAAGAGATCTGGTTGCTTTATCTAATTTTAGCTCTAAAGTTATATATGGTTATATATATATTTTAACACAGTTTATGTAACCCAGAAGCCAGATTCAATCCCCGCCCTCGCACTCGCAATTATCACACATTTTTACAACGCATGAACATGAGTAGAGGTGCAGTGATGGCATTCCTCTCGCTCCCGAGCGGCAGGCGCAAAATGCAGTGCAAATAATCAACCTGGGGCACGATCAAAGTGATGTTGACAACGACATCTCCTGGGTGTGTCCCATTCGAGAGTCCCAATCCCTGCTCCCCCTCTTGGCACCACGAAAACGCTGGCCATATTCAGAGCAACTTTATGATCGCCTTAGATCTCCGCTGGCTGCCAACATATTTTTACACGCCAAACATTTTATTTTGACAGGCATGCGATTTGCACGCTTAATTGAGACAGGTGCATTCCGAGGAGGGGGTGGGAGAAAGAGGTGGAGGGACTTCGGAGGGACAACATCGAGGAGGAAGTGCGGCCAAGCTGCGACATGTGTTCCCTTATGGTGTCGCACAAATGCGGAGATTTATCATCGTGCCACATGGCACGTGTGTTTTCCATTTCGTCGCCTCCGCTCCGCTGCGATTTTCACGGGAAAAGCCAGCGACGCTCGCCAAATGCAAAATTAACAACCTAATTAATAGTTGGCCCGGCCAGGACAGGTCTCCTCCTGCCATCCGGAATGATTCTATGCCACGGCTATGCCCATTCCACCCACTCCGTCTTTCTGTTTCGGGCAGCTGCTTTCAAAGTGCTGTCTATTTTTTCGCTCAGTGCATCGATGCCACTAGGCACTGGCCACGCCCACCCAACTTGTTGGCAATTGCAGTGGTTCGAGTGCATTTTATTCGGGGTATGATGAGGCTAGGAACAGCTTTGTTCCTGTGGATAAAAAGGGGGAAAACATATTAAAAGAGATTACAAATAGGCAAACCTTTAGAACATATTTTCAGTAGTCAGACATCTTTGTATCAATCTTAAACTCAGCAGTTTTAGGTATCCCAAAGTCGGTGAAGGAGTCTAAGCATTCCGTGCTTGTCGCTTTTCTGTTTATACCCGTTACTCGTAGAGTAAAAGGGTATACTAGATTCGTTGAAAAGTATGTAACAGATAGAAGGAAGCTTTTGCGACCCTATAAAGTATATATATTCTTGATCAGGATCAATAGCGAAGTCGATTGAGCCATGTCCGTCTGTCCGTCCGTCCGTCCGTCCGTCCGTCCGTCCGTCCGTCCGTCCGTCCGTCCGTCCGTATGAACGCTGAGATCTCAGGAACTATAGCAGATACAAAGCTGAGATTAAGCATGAAGATTCTTGAGGTCCCGGGACAGCGCAAGTTTATTACAGTATCCTGCCACGCCCACTCTAACGCCCACAAATCGCAAAAAACTGAAATTGCTGAAATCTCAGGAACTATTGCAGATAGAAAGTTGAATTTCAGAAAGTATAATCTTTAGATGACAGCGCATCTTATAGTGGTACTACTATCCGGCCACACCCACCCATACGCCCACAAGGCTCAAAAGACCGTTTTCGGATTTTCTAGAAAAGCTGATATCTCGGTAACTATAAGAGATAGAAAGTTCCGGATCAAGCATGTATGTTTCTATGATGCTCCCAATGCGAATTGTTTTTTCCGATCACGCCACGCCCACTCTAACGCCCACAAAACCCGAAAAATCAAAAATGCAAAAATCTCGAAAACTATAAAAGCTACACAATTTTACTTAGGAACACGTATTTAAGAGATGCCTCTGCAACTTGCCACGATGTTGCTTCCGGCCACGCCCACTCTAACGCCCACAAACCGCGGAAAACTGTGGAGTCTATAATATTATTATGAATGCCTTCGTTTGACCTTTTGTAACTTATTTCTGTTAATATATATCGATTTACAAAAGATTTTTCAAATCGGAACATTATTTCGCTATTTATGAAGAAATTAAGGTTATAAGGCTCCACATGGGCAGTGACGTCACTATAAGCATACTCAACATACTTCCTCTGACAATAGGTGGCGCCTTGTGAATTTCCACTAGCAAAATTAATATTTTAAAATTGTGTAAAACAGTAACGGGTATCTTATAGTCGCGGCACTCGACTATAGCGTTTCCTCTTGTTTTTAATTGGACCCATCTCGGACACCGCCAATATTTCGAGCAGCGGAACCGCAAACTAGGAGTAACTAACGGCCAGCGGGCGGCGCTGTCAAAGTCAGCTGCTTCTATATCCTATATCCCATATCCTATATCCTATAGCCCCTATACCCCCTATTCCCGCTCTCCCTCGAAACGTCTAAAACGTTTGGAAATTCCAAATTGACTGCCGGACCCCTGGATGCCCGAGTCGACTATTGAAGGCGTTTGCGGTTGGACTTCTCGCTTTGGGCCGGACGTTTATTGAACATTTTTACTTGCGGTCTGGGCCACCCGGGAAAATGGTATATGGCAAGCGGACGGAAGGCAGCGGGCAGAAGGGGGTTCCTTTATTAATTTTTGTGTGAGCTCGTCTCGATTTCACGGACAGCCTTAAATGCAAATCGCTGCAAATGGGATTTGGTGAAAAAAGGAGGTTTACGCCAGAGAGCTGGGAGCCAACGAAATTGGCCAAAAAAATGCGTTAAATGCAAATTGGATAAGATGTCGTTGTCAGAGGAGAGAACACTTGCATGTGGCTGCCAAGGCGGATATCCTTCGCCCATCACATGAAAGGAGGGGGCTGAAACCGAGCCGAGCCATCCGAGGAGTGGAAACTTTAAAGTGGATTATATCTCGAGGATGTCCCCAGAACCCAGAACCAGAACCCAGCGCTATCTCCTGCGCTTTGGAAACATAAATCCGTGAGTTTTTGCGAGCGAAATTTATGGCGCTCGCGACACTCGCGAAAGTTTTGGCGGCGGCGGCGGCATTGTTGTATTTATGACCGCGACATGACCTGCTCACATAAACGGTCGGGTAACGAGTCCTGAATCTAGAATCCTGAGTCCTGAGATCCGAAAGTGTTGCCCGCCGTACGTGCGAGTCCCGCTCGGAAATTGGATTTGCCGGAGGATTCGGGCCATCCTTGGCGAGCTAAGCTGGGCCTCTTAAATCTGCACGCCTGTCAATTTATGTTTTTGATCGAAATTTATGTCAGCTCTCCTTCCTAATGAGCAAAATGCAGCGCAGAAATTACAAGGATACCAGGGAAACTCGCATTGTGAACTGAGAAAAGAAGGAAAACAGGAGCCTGGCACTTTGCCCCAATTCCAATCAAAGTTAATTACGTGGAACATTCGCAGTTCAATCTGGCGATTTACATTTGCCAACCCTTAGAGGAGGAAGAGGAAGCCAAGTCCATTCAGCCGGATGCAGGATGTCTGGATTCTGCTTATGACTGCGGAATCTCTTTTAGAAACTAACTCCTGGGAGTGTGTTTGCCGAATGTCTCCAGGCCGAATTGGTCAGTCCAGGACGTGGCCATAATTATTGTTATGTTAATGGTGACCATCGGCAGTGGGACCAAGAGCAGCTTTCGGGGTTGATTGGCTCTCCATCGACATAAAGCCATCACCATCAGTTTGGCCATCGACAAATGTTGTTTGTCCATCGGCCTCCACGTCCTGCCTTGTGTTTGCCCTGCGACTTTGCATAAAAATGGATGAGTGGCCTCCTGGTTTTGGGGGAAATTATTTATGAAGCCTTTGTCAGAAATCAAAGTTTACTGAGGAGTCTTCGCTTTCCTTTCTGGCTTTTAAAGAACCCTCACTAAAACATATTGAAATAATCGATATAAGAACTGGAGAACTGGAAAAGAAATCCGTAAATTTAACACTCTGAGACGCAGTTTTTAATGAAACAAATTTCCCAAACTTATCATCTGATAATGAGAGCCGTGGCAAATGTCTTCGCTTTTCCGGTTAAATGCCAGAAAGTGTGCCACTCCGTCATTAAGTTCACTTCCAGTTATCCTCGAGAAAAGGGGCGTGGCGTTCGCACTCCTTTTTTTACGATTCGGCATAGTCCTTGGAAAAGGGGGCGATCTGCATCTGGGCCAGAAGTCGGCGGTCCTGATAGGTGTGACACATACCGTGATTGATGAAATGTTTGGCCATAAACCCAACCGAAAGGGGGAAGGGCCCGAGGAGCTTGGACCGCCAACTAATTTCCACATTTTTCACATTTGCGAAGGCAAATTGAGGTGCGAACTTGGGTCGAGGCAATAAAAGTGCCGAATATCAAAACAACGAAATCTTTGCCATAAAAAAGAGGTGGATTTTCGGAAGCGGGAAAGGGTTGCTTGACTGGCGGTGGCAGGCATGCGAAATTCCCGAATGCCAATTGTTTCTCGATTCTCGAGGAGATGGGCATCCGCCGAAGTCGCCTTATGAGCTGGGGAGACAGAGCAAGGGAAAGGGATTGGACCACTATAAAAGTCAATATCTGGGACAATAAATTGCGACTCCTTCGATACAGTTCCACTTTGCTTTTAAGTTAGAGTTCGTGGCGAATCGTTTGCCATTCGAGTTTTCCTATTTCGGTTTAGTTTTCCATTTCATTTCGTTTTATATGCCCGGTTCGCCAAAAGTTGTCAACGGCCATAAACGCCGGCGGACCACCCACCACCCGCTTTCCTTTGACTTTTCAATAAAACCCAACACCAGCCGCAGACTTTTCAACCCACCAACACCCAACCCCCAACCCCCGCCCGGTTTCCATTAGCATAATGTCTGATTCGCCGATCTGATGCGGACTTTGATTTCCCTGGCTCTCACTTTCGATTTGCCACAATTCCATTTTATTTATTTGCCGGCCAGCGAAATTACATTTTAAAAAGTTTGCTTCTCGTTTGTTTTATTTGCCTCAGTTCCGGGGGTACAGCAAATTTTTATTGCTAATGTATGCGCCTGGGATATTGATTCGGACGGGAGGGGGCACGTCCAAGTTTCCCCTCAGAGGTTGGGATCCACCCGAGAGCTCTGCCGTCTTAATTCTGCGCGACCTTGAGTGCTGCTGCTGCTGCTGCTGCTGCTGCTGCTGCTGCCTTAATTGCTAATCGAGTGCCAATGCCATGTCAGTGGCGACCTTGGCCAGAAGTAGAAGATCCATTATTCCCGACAAATCTGGTTCAAGAGCAGAAGAACTGAGGGATTCCACTCACAGGGGGCCGAAAGAGCTGCGAATTTCGAGGCTCGCCACGAAAATAGATTGGCCACACACCATCTGGTTCGTATTAAATCGGAATCGACATCGAAATGGAAATGGAAAACGCACTTTTCCTTTATCTCAACTTGTGGAAAAGTTCACGAACAGCACAGTGGTCTTCGGGATCGATGGCTCCGATGGCCACTTGGTACAGCAGAGCCTGCAGAATGAAGGGCATACGCTGGTTGCGATCTAGTTTCGACCAGGTCTCCCTGCTCTCGTTTTCAACCAGGACGCCTGAAGCAAAGGGACAGGTTTGGTAAAAACTTCGAGCGAAGCTCCCACGGAAATTGTCGTAGGGAGTTTCCTTCAGTTCTTCTCCTGAATAGGCTTTCCACTGAAAACGCAGCTTTTCCGTTGGTTTCAGAGAATCCCAGGGAGGTAAGTCGGGTCTAATAAACTCATCGTATATAGCTCTGGCTCCTTCCTCCAGCTTTCTCAGCTGCTCTCCGGTGGCTGGGCTTACATCCAAGGCGCAGGTCTCCTCCTCTCCTCCAGTCAGCCTAAAGTAATTGTTTAAATTAGTCCTGGGAAAGAGATTTCTTAGGAAGTCCAACATTTTCTTGTTTAATCCCTCAGCCATTTCTGGCTTCTCATCCTCTGTGGCCTCTTCAGAACAGTCATCTTCCATTGAGCTTTCAAATGATCCTCCCCTGGAACACCTTGATTCTTCCTTTTTCACATGCCACCTCCTTTCCTGCCCCTCACAGTTGTCCTCCAAGTCCTCCTCAGTTGTCTCTTCACAGTCGTCGCTGTCATCTTGATAGGCCTCGAAAATGAGATCCACTTTGCCACAGCTCAGGTCCGAGAGGCGGATAAGGCGCTGCTCGCAGCGCTCCTCCCCGTCGTAGGTGACCAAAGGACCAGGATACTCGTGTCTTATGGTGTAGCTAGGATGTGTTACCAATCCGCATTCATTGTTGTTCCCCCCTGATCTATTTTCCTTCCCTTGCTTTGCACCTAGAGATTCCTTTGAATCGCAAGTCCAAGATTCAAAGACCAGATCTTTCAACAAACCAAACAGGTCATCACTTAAGAATTTACAAAATGCATCCATGGCTGAGAAAGTTTACGAAATGTATACAATGTTTATGAATTTGAAATCTTTTTAGTTTGATACCAAATGCTACTGAGATTGCAGAGGCAAATGTGTTACAGTTTACTGGGTAAATGTCATGTTAGCCTGCGAATATCATTTTCCTGTGACTGCCGCGCCAAAGGAATCCCAATTTTCCCCTGCTTAATTTAGTGTTCATGAAAATATATGGCTCCGCATTATAAATGCGAAAAATACTCGTTCTCGTAAAAATCAGAGGGGGGCGGGACCAAATATGACAGCGAATTCTGCTATATTAAAAATGCTGCTGTGGCTGCAAAAAGAAAAACAGAAAATGTGGAAAAATATCAGAATAGAAACGATATAAAAAGACGAAGCGAAAGGAAAACATTTGGATTTCCACATTTATTCGCCTCTCTCCTCGTTTATTTATGATTTCTGCTTATTATCTGGGGAGGGGTGGGCGGCTTGGGAGGAATCGCAATTGGAACGTTCATATTCATTCTTCCGATTAAGCAGTTTTCATGGTCATAGCTCTCGCACACTGGCTCACTCGCCTCATCGCGAATCATGGCCGAAATAAAATAAAATAAAATAAGTGGCCTAGATAAAAAGGCAGCTCCAGCCCAGCCAGTGGAGAGGGCCAAATGAACCTCTCTCGGCGGGTATTGCCCACCAATCCGAGCCCCGAATAGCTGCAATTATTGAAATTAATTTCATTTATTACATCATGAAAATATTTCCCAGCCAGCGAGCAAAATATTTTCGCCACACGCTGTCCTTTGCAATTAAGGATTGGACATCGACTTGTCTGCCCTCGTCCTTCGCCGTTCGCTGTGTTTCTGTGCGTAATTTGAAGTTAATAACGTTGAAATAAATTCCCCATTCGATTTGTATCGCCCCCATTTAGCGGACCGACATTTGCCAATTGTCCAGGCCAAAACATAGCCATACACTGGCAGAAACTGGAAACTACATCAGACCTTAAGTAACATCATGAAGGATGATCTACATAAGCTGCTTTCACTCCAAATGGTTTTTATTCCCTTTATAGAATATAAATTTTATCAATCACAGTTTCTCTCACTGTACTAGAGTCCAGGGGTCAGGAGCATTTCGGTGAACCACCTATAAAGTCTGCACTTAATTGCTTTGAATACGAATATTGGTTCGATATGGCATATATGTCATCATATTTTCCGGGGAATTTATGATGAGCATTTGGAATAGATGAGGAAAGAATAATGTTCTTCATACGTCGGTGCTTTGCAATCTCTGGAGAGGCTGCCCACTCCTCTCGCCAATTCTGCATTATCAACTGGGATTCCCCGGGCGAAGATGAGCTATTTTCTCGTTTTACCCGATTTACGATGCCTCACCTAGCTAGCTGAAGTGCCGTGTTGCCAGCTAATGGCGATGCGTCGGCCACAGCTCCCAGAACAATAAAATTCCCATTTAGAAGTCGCGTGAAGCTTTCGCACTCCCTGGCCCCAGATCTCCCCAGGAAAAACCGCTGGAAAAGTGTGGCAGCAGCAGTTTTCCTCGGCTTTTGCGTGTGCGTGTGTGTGTGTGAGTGCTGCTTGTTTACGTGGAAACAATTTTTATGGCATGTCAAAAACCTATTTTAATGCTTTTAATGAAAGCGAATTTTATTGCATTACTTTTCGATTTTACTGCCCCGCACCTCCGGAAAATCGACAGAGGGCGTAAAAATGCACTCAACTCAAAATGTTGACAAGATCGTAAAAAGTTTCTTACGCTGCGGGGAAGGCAGGGGAAGCGGGAAAAACAGGAAAAACAGGTGACAAAGCAAAAACCGAAGCAGCCGCAAAAATGACAAAAACTAGCTCATAACAAAGGCCACTTAAACTGCCAATTGTGGTGGCTTTTCCCGGGTTTTCCATTCCGCAGAAAAAACATTTTTGCATAAATTCGAATTTCGCTGGCGACGGCTCCCGAAAGTATGCTTTGGATTTTTCGAGCTGGCTGCTACCTTTGCCAAATTCATTTGACCAGAAACTTAAGTTATATTTTGGCCCCCGGCCAGGAGTAAAAAGAGACATGTTTAGTGGCACGGCAGCAGCGACAAAAGCTTTCAGCCATAAAGGATGCAGGACGCAGGATGCAGGATGCAGGGCCAAGAGGCAGGGGAACCCTACACACGTCGCCTGTCGGAGCACTCAATGTCAGCCGTTTGGAGGGCAAATGCAGTTCCACTCCGGCGAAACAATGACATGAGTTTTGGACGCACTTTTACCCCCTTCTTCTCCCTCCTCCAATGGAAAACCCCTGCGACAATCCATATTGCATGCATTAAATATCTCATATATAGGAGTATGCGGTGGGGCAACCAAATGGATTCGGGGTCGCCAGTATTGACAGGGTCAGTCATGCATTGTTGGCCGGCCAAAAAAGCGGTCGGGATGTCAACTGCAGGACATCTCACAACTTTTGGCCCGGCCCATAGATCCAGGGAAGGAGCAAATGGGCGGCGGAGGTCTAAGACAAAGGGAGATTCCATCTACATTTCGGGAAAAGTTGAATTATCATTACGTTAGATGTTCACTGAGAAGATCTTGTTGTAAAATCACCAGAAATTCTCCATTGAAAGTAACTTTCCCTTCAACTCCATTTATTAAACCAAACTTTAAATCGACTTGGCTGTCTATTATTTCGAGTGCAGTTTTCGGGGTGTCTGGGTGTGGGAACCCACTCGTGTCTATGGCCTCCTCAGCTGCGTGACGAATCCCCATCCCATCCCAAGGAAGTGTCATTAGCCGGGATTCGTTCATAAAAAGCAATGGCAAATGGCAGCCGCAAGTGACAAAGTTAGAGCACCGAATTCGTTTCATTGGGCCATAAAAAATGGCGAAAAACAAAATGCAAATGAGTCCCGAGGCCCGCGAAAAAAAGGTGGAACACTTTTGCAACTAATTCTCGCCGCCGGAGACCCTTGACATTAGACATGCCCCGTCCCCTGTTCCTTTGCTTTCACTACCCCGTCGCATATAATTACAGTTATTTGTGTAGCTAATTAATTGCTAATCAATCATAGGACGAAAGCGAGACAGACCCACAGAGCCACAATAAAAAAGGACGCGCCGTTGTTTGCCTGTCACCCAGACCCAAAGGACATCTCAATCCCGGGACTTCTAAGTATTCCTCCCCCGCCTCCTGACCATCATCATCGTCGCAGTCGACCCAACTTTTGTCCAGAGACAAAAGCCCGGCGAAAACAAAAGCTTAGCAAAAGATTGATCACAGCAAACTGGCGAGCTGCACCTGTTTGCTTACTCACGGTTATTAGCCAGGACACGCAGGATCTGCGAATCGAAGGGGGATTTCAGAGGCGGCGGCATGCAAATGGCCAGTGGCGAAAATGCACTCCAAGAAATCGGGTTAGGGTTAATAAAGGTTGAAAAAAGGAAGTTGTTACCTTAACGAAAACCAAATTAAAGTTTATTTTCAATGACATATTTATGAGAAAAGTTCATCCCTTTCTCTGAGTGCATCCTTTGAGTTTTCGAGAAGAGAGAAGTGTCAATCCTGGCTTGCTTTTTTGCACCTTGCCAGGATTGTCAAGTGCCCGAATCCTTCATCCACTCCCACCACGATGTCCTGCTCTTGTCACTGTCACTCAGAGCTGACGTCAGCCTCCCAAAAACCCCGCCTTTATCCTTTGGCCTGGCTTTTTCCTTGCCTTTTTTCGGCGCACATTTTATTTTACATAATTTGAACATTTAAGACGTGCCTGGGCATAGACAAGCGGCTTTAGCCTTAGTTTATGCAGGCCAGTCGTGGGTCCTGCTCCTGTCCAGCTCGGGGAGAGCTGGTGCCACCCAAGCCTCTCATTTTATTATTAAAAGGCATTCGCATCCTTTACGCCCCAATGAGTTTTATGAGCTCCTCCGCGCCGCCCCGCAGCATACTCTTGTCTCTTGGCCTGTCAATCCGGGATGTCTTCATCTTTTATATGGAAAATCAGGATGAGGGCTGCGCCGTTTAGTGTTCGCAGTTCACATTTGTATTTGTCAAAACTTGCACGTTTGCCGTTTGCCGTTTGCCATTCGCTGTTTACTGTTTACTCAGTGCTCTTTGGGCCTGCAGAAACTTTACAGTTAACCCAAATTGTCGGCAATTTGGCCAAGATGCTGTTCGAGCGGCTCCTCTAACCAGGATTCGCCATTTGATGATCCTTTCAATTCAATTGTTTGTCGGGGAAGGGGTTGGCGTAAGTGATAGTAAAGAGCATTCATAACGCTCTTGATGGCTCTATATGGGTTTGGGTTTTGGACTATGACTCGGAGTGCAGAGGAGATACACTGAAAGAAAAGCCGGGGTGTATCATGGTAGGAATACCCCGAAAATAATACAAAAAGGATTGGTTATTGCCAAAACTGCATATCAATGAAATATATGTATTCAAAGGTTAAAAGGTGATGTCACAACTTGCAGTCACTGCTTGGCAGGGGTGGTGGTTGGTCTGTAAGAAGTGGGGTGGGCTTTGACCCTCTGCCAGGACTCTATTGTAGTCCTGGCTGATTGGTAATTCGATACAGTTGTTCGATGACTGTTCGCTTTGTGTGTGCGAATCTTTGGAATCATTCGAAGCGCATCGCCAATTGAGGAAAACTTCTCCGCTTTCCCACTCGACACGAGCATCCCCCGTGCGATGTCCCTTGCTGATTTTCCACTCTCGCATTTGGCCCGGCTCGTGTCTGTTGTCTCCTGTCTCCGGTTGGCTCTAATTTTCCTGCTTGTCGCGCCGTGCGAAACGTATAAATAATTTTATTTTATTTTTGTTTTCATTCCATATCAATACTATTTATGGACTAATGGATTTATGGCGGCCACGCATCCTGCCCTCCTGATCCCGCTTCGATTGTGTATCAATCGTTGTCATCGTCCGCGGCACGTGTGTTGTTCTCGTTTCCGGATCCCTTTCTGCCAGGGATGCACTCTTAATGTCCGTGCAATTATGAATATTTCGTGTGGGAACATCCTTCAGGACTTTTGCTCTACGTCCTCGAGAGAGATTTCTTGGCGGCTTCTTATTATTCTTTCATTTTGCC